TCCCTCTTACTCCAGCTACTGACTGAGCCGGGGGAGCCAAGGCCATTCTTGGTGGGGCTGCGCCTTCCCGAAGACGAGTCGCCCGTTCTGTTTGGTAGTACGGGCTTGGAGAGGCTGTTGCTGAGGGAAGTGCCGCGTTCTCGGTTGGAAGGTGGCGACACAGGACCAGTACGCTGGGGGCTGACTGGGCCGGCCTTGCGTACTCCGATGGCTGTTGGGAAGTTTCTAGGGTTGGCGGCATTGGCAGCTCTGCTGAAGGCACCCAGGCACTGGAGGACTTGGGCGGGGTCCTTTTGTTCGTACAGGTCGACGGTGAGGAAGGTATCGTGTTGGTGGAGGTTTAGCGGCGGCGCTTGGCAGGCACGGAGGAAGTGCGAGATGTTTTCCATCTGGACGAATGGCATGGCGGACTGCTTGAACTTGATGCCGGGGGGCGGAACAGCGAGGTTGACGAGCCTGGGAGCATCGGTTAGCACATGGCCACGGCGTGGCACTGCCGCGGGGTTACGCACTTGCAGAGGGCAACGCCATCCTTCAAGCCTTCCAGCAGATCCGAAGAGGGGAGTCTCTCCCCGAGGGAGTCCTCAATCCAGGCGCGGACCTCGTTGGCGGCTGCGGGTGTGTATTTGTCCAGGCGCAGCTTGCGCAAGTCCTTGTCCAATGAGCTCACGGACGCCATGGTGCTGGAGCGAAGGAAAAGCGAGGGGACTGATCAAGTAGGTGGAAAAAAGAGCGGTTTCGGGCCCGATTCTCTATTCGGGGGTCGAGGGAGAGTGGTCGTTGATTGATGACGGTGTCGTCACCCGCCTGTCGTAAGCTGGCGGGCGGATCGGCCGGTTTATTGTAGAAGCGCTTGGAAGCCTCCGTCCAGCTGCGCGCGGGAAGGTGCGGTCACTCCTGGTCCTGACGCAAGGAGGGGGAGGGTAGAGTTGGCCGGTCCGGTCCAATGTCTTGAAAAATAATATGTACAAAGCTTGGCAGGTGTTTATTTATTTATTTTCTGGCTTGCGCAATAACATGGCAAGGTCATAAGTTAGGCACTATCGCCAAGGTGGGATTCCGTCACTTTTAATTGTTTACGGGACCTTGGGCCCAAAGTCCAAGGCAAGGCAAGGTGGGGAGAGAGGGGGCTACTAAGGGCAGGTACGGCGTGGCTTCGGGTGGCTGGTAAGGGAGAAAAAAAATGCTGCGCCACCAACATGGATCCCATGTACGTAATTGTCGAATAATTGATCGAATTCATCCCGTCTTGTCAATTACATATCCAGAGCATGTCGAGATAACCGATACCTAGACCAGACAGCCTCAAGCGTCACTGCTTGCTCGTCGATTCCAACGAAAAAAGAAGGGGGGAAAATGGTAGGACTTTTTTCCAAAGCCTTGTATCGGTGGAAAGCCCTCCGGCTACCATGGCGCAAGCGCTTCCTCGTGGGTATGTAGAAGCAGCTCCAGCTCCCCAACAGGAAGAAGAGGGCCGAACCTAACCATCCGTGACAATTCCACAGGCCACGATCTCCAGGGCAATACCTACTGGGAGTTCCGCCTCACGCGCAACCCGGCAGAGCGATGGCGCCGCATCGTCGAGTACCCCCGATCCGTGCACTTCTCCCAGGTCAAGGTCAGCCCGCTGTGGCACCAGTGGCTGCGATACACGCGCGACACGCCGCCCAGCATCGAGGAGCAGAAGAGCAACGTCGCCCGCGAGGCACGCATGAAGATCCTCGCCGCCGAGGCCGACGCGCGGTGGGAGGCCAAGCCCCGCGTCATGGAGGACGTCGGCAAGCCGGGCGTCTCCCAGCTGGGCCAGCCCGTCCCGCCGCTGCGGTCGGACACGATGGCGCCGCGAGAGCAGGATGACGCTCGGGTCGCTCCCGGCCAGGCGGCGGCCCCGAAGACAGAAGAAGCCAAGGACCCATGGGCCAAGGCTAGAGCTCAGGGTCCTGGCGAGAACTGGCAGCCAGCATCATGGAGTCCCCCAGCGAAGGGCAAGAAGTGAATGAGGAAAGCGGCGACCTCAAAAGAGATACACAAGGAACACGCAAAAAAGTAATCATGATTGACGATCCCAGCGGAAGCTCTCGTTGGATTTGTATCATAGTTGTATAACAGACAATCTCGGCCGCCACCGCCCAGGGCCAGCTCGACACTGCTGGTCCTTCGGCTACTGTATAGTAATCTACATAAACGGCACATTATAGTACCACCAAGGACCGGATAATCCATCATCGCAATAAACCAATATCCACAATTGTATAGCCTTTTAAACTCCATGCTTGCAAAGACATATCCGACCCCGTTGCGCTGTAGACAACAGACAGCCCGGCCCCAACACCAGAAACCCTCCAGGACAAAACAAAACAAAGTCAAGGCAAAAGTCGTTTACTCGTCCGACAGCTCCATCGGCATCATGGCCTCCACCATGATACGTATTCGCTTTGTCGAGTTGTTCAAGACCTCTTGAGCATGAGCATCCGCCGCCTCCACCCTCGCCTTGCCCGTCCTCTTCCTCTTGACTTTGGTCTCGCGTGCCAGAATACCCTTCTCGACGGCTTGGACAAACTCGTCAGAACTCTGCGCGTCGCTTTCGATCCATAGCAGCTGGATTGCGCTCTCCGACACTAGCGATAGCTTGGCATTGTCGTCGAGGGCAATCGTGTTTGCGGCGTTGGGCAGGTAGCTTTGCTCGAGCATGAGCATAGTCAGGGCACCTTCCATGTCAGCCTCACGGTCGACCTTGCGGGGGTCCTTATACGAAGACGGCAGAAGAAGCCTGAAGAGCTCCCTAGCAAGTGTGACGTGAGTTGCCATAAGGAGCGGTGTAGGCCGTTGGGTGACGATGAGCGAGAAGAGCGGTAGCGGGAGCAGCTTGACCGCCGTGGCGAAGCCTTCGTACAGGGCCTCCAACTCTGACGGCTTACCGAGGGCATGAATGACTTCAGATAGCATCTTAAACAGGCGAAGTCTCAGGCTCATAGATTCGGCAAGACCGCCGCCCTCCGAGGTACTACAAGAGGCCGCCTCACGCGGCGCGCGGCGCTTTTGCGGGGTGGCGGGTTCCGAGACGCCCGACGAGAAGAACTCATCGTCGAGGTAGTCGCCAAACTGGTCGTTTTCCACATCCAACGTGTTCTGGCGCTTTCGCTTCTTGGGCTCCTTTCTTGGGGCTCGATGCTCCTTTTCAAAGACCTCTGGGAAGGCCGACACCGATAAGCTATCGCCACTGGCGAGGATGGCCTTGAGCATAGACTTCATGCCTCCGTGTCTCCCATTTTGCTGGTCCATGTACATGGCCATGATGGACTGCTGACGCGCGGCAACGGGCTCATCGCCATGACCGCCGTTAGCATCATAGGCTTCGCGGTCGCGCCGGGTCCTCTCGACCCAGTCGGCTTCGATGACGTCCATCATGAATTCCAGCCACGCCTTCCAATATCGCCAGCGCTGCGGCTGAAGCGCGCTGCAGTTGAATGCCCAGCCGACGGTGGACCAGACATCCTGACCCCGACTCCACACGCTGCTGTCGTTGGCCATCCGCCCGCGCAATCGATCGCCATCCGTCTCATCCAACTCGGACATGTCGCTATCGTTGTCCTGGTCCTGATCGCGTCTGCGGTCTCGGCGAGACCCGTAGCCTGCGCGGCGCGCCCATCGCTCGACGTTGTGGAACTGGAAGGCGGCTCGGAAGTCCGCGTTGACTGGGCCAACCACGTTGAGAAGGTTGCGCAAGTAGGCCAGGGCGAGCGAGGAGGTCTCCAGGTGGTCAAGGGTCTCGGCGCGAGTCGTGTATAGTGGGTGGATGGCAAGTGTGTTGAGGAGGGCGAGGTGACTCGGCGGGGGGATTGCGACGGGCTTGTTTGGTGGGCTGTGCCTGGAGCTACCGGAGCCAACGATGCTGTTGAGTAGATTGATGGCGCATGAAACTAGACACGGTCAGGACGACGGTTTCTGCGCGGGAAGTGCGCGTGCTTACATAGCTGCTCCTCCAGGAAGATCTGGCAGTGCTCTTTGAGCTCGTGGGGCAGCTGGCGAGCGTCACGATAAGGACATGAGCTGGTGTAGACGGGACTGCTAGCGTTGGTCGAGAGCTGCCCAGCCGTGTCGTTGGCAGTGTAAAAGGACGATGGCGAGGAAAGCTCGCTGCTGGGTGATGCGTTGACCATGTCTCTGCGGCGGGGGGGGGGGGGGGGGGTGTTTTCTTCCTTTCTTGCAAATGCGAGATTCGTGGTGAGGCTGAAGTTGGGAGTCGAAGGTTGAATTTGGACGCGTCCAATGATGGCTCGATGGGCCGTTTGGCGCGTTTGTATGTATAATTTAAGCGCGCCAACGTCACTGCTATCTAGTGGGAACGGGGACCCACCACAACTTAGCTTTAACTCCCGCCTTCAACAAGTACCCAGTACCTCGCCATGTCTTGACTGCATACATAGTAGGTACTCCGTAGCCGGGTGAACCCGCCAGCTACGGTTGGCTCATGGAAGCGTCTTTATGAATTGTAGGGAGCAAACGCATGCATGAATCTTTTTCTCGCGTTTGGCCAACTTGGAAGACCAGGCTTCCTTCTTCACTGCTGAAACGACCATGGAGAAATATTGGGAATAGCTTCAACATGGAACGACTGAGATCAAAAATAAGAGAGCAAAACTTTCAACTGTGACCTCCATAAATGGAGTCTGCTTGCTCAAAATCTTCATTCCCTCCGCCAGCCTGGCATAAAGAGCAGTGTGCAAACACACCAGGTAAGGGCAAGTATCTCACATGGAACTTTACAAGGCCTGTTCGTGTGCCCCAATGGGACCAGCAACTTCAAGGAGGCCCCCTCTGACTATAAAGACGACAATCGGTAAGAAAATTAGGTTAAAAGGGCTTGAGGCTTGTCGCTGCGGCGATGCCCATGTCCAAGTTCTCCCAGTCGCATACCGCAATTGGTCGGGAGCTTCCGTCACGATACCGCCGTGGCGTCGGGCGTCCTTGCGTGATACAAGATGCTCAAAAGTTTGCCTGTCCAGACCTTGGAATCGAACCAAGACCGACGTCCCCTGAGGGGCATAGCATTTCTACTATGTGAGACACGTTATGCTACCATTACACCAATCCGGATTGTGGTTTGAATACATATTATCAAGATTATAATATATAGGCTTAATCACTAAGTCCCCTAATCACATATGACCACGTCTACAATATATAGAGTCCTATCAAGACATTCTTTAGAGAATAATAACATAATAGAGCAGGTACATGCAGCGAGGAAAAAAGAACAATAGTATACGCGAGCAATAACGGTGGCCCTGCTGCCCACAGGACCAAAGAACAGAGTCAAACAATAAAGGCATCGTCAGAATCACACATTGCCCGGAGCCAGAGAATAATGACGGGGCAGCAGCAGCAGCAGAAGTAAAAGCATGCAATACAGTTAGGGGACCTATGGTTAGCAAACTCGATGTGTGTATGTACCGTTCGTCGGCGTGTTTTCTGACGAGGCTGGCAGTGTGCTCCGTTACTTTTGCTTCTATATTCCTCTTTTTGCTATCATGACCAAAAATACATATACCAAAACTCCGCCTCGACCAATAACCGAGCCAGTGAGTGCTTCCCACCGTTGCTGACACCTTTTGAAACAGACCGGTGCTTCCTATCATGCGTGAGGATAAAGAGAGGAACATAGCGTTATAAAAAAGAAAAAGAAGCTCCCCTCTACAGTGGCAGCGTGTTGCTTGCATTGGTGAGCACCCGTCCCATAGCAGTGCCCTTCTCCCCATCTCCCTTATCATCCTGGTCATCCGGATCATCAGTGGCATCCGACGATTGCACGGCTTGCACAGCCAGCATCTTGGCCAGAACCTCGGCAGCCTCGGCAGCGAACTGGCACTTCATGCGAATCTTCTCGCCGTACTTCCAGAACAGGAACGGGAACGGCATGCATGCCAACGCCAGAAACGCGGGTACCGAGGACGCCCAGTGGATGCCCAGGTCCGCGTACATGTACGACGTAAAGAGCGGGAACGCGACCGCGAAGAGTGACCGCAGCACGGCGCTGGCGGCCAGCACCGAGGCGGCATAAATGACGTCTGTGGAGGACATTAGGGACATCTCTGCAACTTCAGCTGCGGATCCACTTACAAGAGTCGATGAGGTAGTTGGACAACGAGAGAAACACCAAGGTGATGCCGGAGGAAAAGAAGCCAGCTCCGATAATCGACACAACCCAGTGTATTTCCGGCCCATTCGTCCAGGCGAACCAGAATTCACCTATCGGCAGGAGGATGGAGCCCACAATGGCCGGAGGCAGTCGAACCTCGGGTGCCGCTACGCCTCCCGACTTGCTCGCGATCCGGGTATACCTCTTGTTGTCCCACAGCGCACCCAGCACGGCGAGGAACATGCCGACGGCGATACCTGTGAATGCTAGGCCGCCGATGCCAGGGCTCCAGCCACGGCCTTGCTGGAAGACGATGGGGAACGCTGCGAAACACATGAAGAGGGTGCCGTAGATGATGGCCATGTATATCGAGATGAAGAACACAATGGGCTCCTTGAGGAGCATGATCCAGGGGCGAGACAGCGCAATCTTGAACTGGGTGGTCAGACGCACGGGTGGCTTACCCTCGTCCAGCTTGGAGATGTACGTCTTGCCAGTCAGCTTGGACAGCTTCGCGGCGCGCCGGCGGAGCAGCACGGGCGCATACGTCTCGGGACAAGTTGATGCCCCCACGATCCATACGATACCCGTGAAGATGGCCATGAGGCCCTCGATCCACCGCCAGCCTGCTGCTTGCCCGAGGAAGCCACCCGCAATGGGCCCTGCATTCCCCCATCAGCACACACTTGGACACAGAACTGAAAATCAAGGGGGCATACCAAGAGCTGGTCCCAGGAACGGCGCCATGGCAAACAGCGGCATGGCAATACCACGATCCGACGCGTTGAACATGTCGGCAATGACGCCGCCTGCATTGGTCAGGGGCGAAGAGCCAAAGGCACCGGCCATGAAGCGCAGAACGAGCAGCGCCTCAATGGTGGGAGCACCCGCGGCGGCGGCGTTAAAGGCCGTCAGGGCCATGTAGGTGATGAAGAAGAGCAGCTGGCGGCCGTACATTTCAGAAAAGGGGGCCCAGATCAGCGGGCCGATGGCGAAGCCCAAGACGAACATGGACACGCCCAGTATGCCGACGGTGATGCCGACGTCAAACTCGGCCATGACGTCGGCGACGCCGCCCGAGTAGGCCGAGGAGGAGAAGGAGACGGCGAGCGTGGCGACGGCCTGGATGACGGTGACGGTCCATTTGCCGAGCTTGGTCCACTTCTGCGCGTTGCGAGGGTCGTCGGGCAGGAAGTCGACGAGGTACGGCGCCTCGGGCGTGCCGCGGCCCGGGTACTCGTGGTGGAGGACGGCCTGCGTGACGGCGGGCTGGTCCACAATGAGGCGGAAGAAGGAGTACGAGGACATGGCCTTGGCGGCGGCGGCGGCGGGGGAGCTCTGGGCCTCGGGATCGTGGACGGCAGTGGAGGGGGCCGAGGACGATGAGGATGACGACAATGAGACGCCCACGTCGTCTCGTTCAGATATCCTCGTCATGTTGGCAGGGTGAAGCAAGCCCGTCCCTTCCAGTGTTGACCTAGACCACGGTGGAATATCGAGGAAAGAAGATGGAAACGAAGGGGGGAAGGAGGTCCAAAGAGAATACCTAGTAGAATAGAACTCGACGAAGACAAAAGTCCACGTCAACAGACATGGCGTACTACTACCTCTAACCCCAGTGATGCCTCCCGGCTGCAATATCCAAGAACCCACACTCTTCCTCCACCCCCTCCATGGCCCCGGTTTTGGGGGAAGCAACACTGTCAATCATTGTCGTTAAACGAACCCGGACCGGGATTTGCTGCTGCCGTTTGGGCCCGGATGCCGACTGGCAGCTGGGGTAGCCGGAGATAAGCGCGGGTTTGACGCCGTCTGTTTTCCCATTCTCCTCACGATGAAGCTACGCAACACCCAAGAATATATATGTATGCAGGTCAGCTGAGAGCGACATGCGCAAGGATTGGTCTGTCTCGGCGCCTCTTTTTGCACATGTAGCAGAACCATTCACTGCTCCAAGGCTGACCCGTCCTGTCGGTTCCCTTGGCACGCATCGCGCCGTGGTTTTTGATTGTTTTGGCCCTGTCCGTGGAGACTCCGCGGGCACGGCAATTCGCGCGCGGAAATCCGTGCCGATCAAGACGGAGGTACTTTTAGTCAATGGGGAACACGGCGCGCCCTTCGTTGTCATTTGACCCGTTGAAGCGGGCGCTCCATGGGGAAGAGGGAGGGCAGTTGATCATTGTACGAGGCACTTACAAGCCATGGATGCCATGGATCCCGTATACGGTTGGTTACATGCTGTTGCTTTGACTGTCTTCATTTCCTGCTCGCTTGCGATCTTGGCGGAGTCGCATCAACTCCCAAATCCTTCCCACTCTTCCTCGTCGTCGTCCTCCTCCTCAGCATCGTCGTCTTCTTCCTCCTCTTCACTGCTGACCGGCTGCTCAGCCCTCTTCTCCTGCGTCTTCCCCTCCAAGGAGACGGGCGCGCCCGTAGACTTGAGCACCGGCATCCCCAGCACGTCTCTTAGAATCATGCCATCCTCGTCGCGGACATAAGGCCCGTCGTCCGAGCTGCCCGTCCCGTCGCCCTCGCGGGTGCGCACGAACCCAGCTACAAAGAAGCCCATGACCCCCCGGCCGTCGTTCTTGAAGGATCGGATGCAGCCCTCCGCAATCTCCGTCTCGCCGTTGCATGGCTTGGGCCGGCCGCGCACTGGCCAGTCCCTCATGCCCGCGACCTGGTCCCCTCGCTTGAGGATGCGCCAGCCCCTTTTCTTGGCGACGTCCGAGGCCAGGGCTCGCATCACGACCTCTTCGTTTTCCTGGTCGTGGATGGAGCATGTAGAGTATGTAACCTTGGTCGCGGCCGGGAATTGGAACGCGTGCAATATGATGCTCAGCTGGAAGGCGGCGAGGGCCTCGAGCCGCGCCGCCACGTCCCGTTCCGAGTTGAGGACCGTCTCGTTTCCGTCATCGTCGCGAATGGTCCGCCGCTCCTCGTCGTCCTCGACCTCGGCGTGCTTGCGCTTCCGAGGGTTCCCCGGGGCGCCCTTGTCAGACGCCTTGGCCTTCTTGGACTCCGGCGCACGAGGCATGTGAAGCTCCGGCATAGAATCCCGTCCCACGATGCCGCTCCCTGAGCAGCTGGGGTCGAGTAGCAGCGCGCCAACCTGCGCGAACCGCTCGGCGTGCGGATCAACCTGGAGAAAGTCCTGGCCAAACGCGATGCGCGTCACCTCCTTAGACCCTGCTGCCTTTACCATCTTCTCCAGCGTCTGCGCCCTCTTTGAATCCTTCTCGAACGCGTAGATGATCTGGGACTCAGCTTCAAACTCGGGCTCGTGATCGTGCAATATGGCGGCGAGGTGAGTCGTCTTGTTGCCCGGCGCGGCGCAGGCATCCACCACATGGCCGTCCTCGCTGCGAGGATCGAGCAGGTAAGCCGGAAAGCAAGACGCCTTGTCCTGCAGAATGACCTTTCCGGAGATGTAGGCCTCCGTCTTGGTGAGATCCGTGCCCTGTGTGATGGCGACGAGATTGGGGACGTGGGGGTCGATGTAGATTTTCTTCTCGGAGCCGGCAGCCATGATTTCATCGAGGCTCTGAGCCCTTGCGTAGTTGGAGAATGTCGTCTCCAATTGGTCCTCCAGCGTGCTCCGGAGCGAGTTGACGCGCACCCATCGCGGATACTGCGATTCTTCACCGGCGGATGCCTTGAGAACCTGGTCCTTGAGGACAGCCATTGACGGCGCTTTGCGTCTCAACCGTGCCAGCGTAAGCTCAGACGTGAGACGCCCCTTGTGTCTCTCCATTGACACTCTGAGGCCGTGGCTCTGAGGTAGAGCAATGCCTCCCTTGGAAATGAGTAGATCATGTGCCAGAAGCAACGCCAGAGCAGGCGTAAGCTGTTTGGAGTCAGTTTGATTTTTTCCCCCTGCTTTTTCCTCTTCTTTTTTCTTCTTCTTTCTTTTGGCGTTTGCTCTATGGAATGGTAACACAAGACGAGGCACAGATCA